ACGAGTAGAAAGCCAAAACCTTTTTTCTCAAAGAAGTTATTTGAAAAATCAATATGTATAATAGCCAATGAATTGAGTTTTTCAATTGCCAATATTATTGTTATTACCGACACCTTGGAATACCAGACTTGATTATGAATCTAGAGAGATGGAAACTGATTTCAAGTGAATACAGTTATTGAATAGTATGTACAATAGTTTGATCCTTGAATGATGAAGATTCTAATTGGAAAAAAATTATGAGAAAAAATGGCAGCATTTCACCTGTTAACGAAAAGATTTTTTTCTATAATTATGCATCAACTCAGGTTATAGTGTTACCACAAACTAATGCCATCAAAGTATCCTCCACCGGCTATACTTCTTCTGAATATCTTGAATTAAATTTCATGATACATTCCGGTGAGTATAGAATATTATATTCTCAGATGTGGTTACCAATTTAATTCATATTTTCATTCCGGAAAAGCTCAAAGTTGCATATACATTTTGAAATGAAACGGACTAGCAGATGGCGGATTTTCCAGGAATTATAAATTGCACAAACCGAGTCGTAGATCATCCCTAGTCCTATGAATTAGTGAAAAGTATGTAAAATGTATGGCCGTGTAATGAATAGTATGCACAAGGGAAAAAGTCGAGTTACGATCCGAGGAAGTTTCCACCTATTTGAAACTTTCCAACCTCTTGACTACGGGTTTATCCTTTCACAGGAAAATTGTAGCGAGGAGAATGTATCATACCTTTGTGAACATACAATTTCAAGAATGTTTGTTTATGAAAGTCTACTTGCTATTCATATTGGAGGCTGTATCTTTGACGCCCCTCTCGATATAGAATTTGAAAATTGATATAATTCAACTTTTTGGGACATTCAACAAATGGAACATCCTGTATTTTTTCATTTGTATGAACTGTTTCAACATTTTTCTACATTTTTCAGAAGTATACTATACGAAAAACTGATATTCTACAAATTATACTAAGTTTTAGTAATTGTAAACACAAAAAAATGTATTTTTTTACGTTCACTTACTCAAATTTGTTTTTCGGATATTTAAACTAATAGTACATTAGCATTTTCACACCATCCAGTGATAGTTATTAGCGGTTTCGATGGTAATAAATGCGTAAAAAACTTAAAAACCCAGTTATCCATGACTGACATCAAAAAATGAATGAATTTGTCAATAATGCCATGTATTGAAGTTTTTTCCGTGTGTAGATTGAATCATTTTCATTATGAATTATGTATTGGAAGATATGGTGCAAATGGTCTATGCTTTGGAGGCAAGTGACAAAAACTGCCTCCATGCATCTAGAATTTACAAAGAGAAGATCCTCGAAAGAACAGAACCAGATGAAAGGTAATTTCAGGTTCCAAAAACAAGATTTGAAAGAACTGGTAATGTCAATAACGAGAAGTTGGACGTATCTGCCCTATAACAAATGAAGAGAATACATTTCAAATTGTTTTTCAACTTGTTGAAAATCCCATGCAAGTACACGAGACCTGAGCAAGGAATAAGGATGTTCTCAAACCAGCGATGTTCTCAAACCAATGATAGGAGCAAGCAAATTTCTTCCTTATCAAATGCAACTGATGCGAAAGTTATTCAAACAATCAGTTGCTTTGTTGTCGTAATTAGCACGCACTACCAAAACGAAGTTGATGCGTAGTTACTACAATTTCACCGAGCATTCGAGACTGGAATGGTCGGTAAAAAATCGGTGAGTATGCAAGAGTGTATTTAGTCATGTACGCCACTACTTCCCGGTACTGCCGGCGATACAGTGGCACTGGACGGCTGCTCACCGGTATTATACCGGCGACGATCACCGGTAGGCATGTGTGCAAGGTCCCGTTTCCACATGTGGTTCACTATTGGAATTCGGACGACCGGTACAAAGTCGGCCGTCCAAAATCGGTGTGTGTGTGCAACTAGCGTAATCTGACCTGACCGAAAATTGTGGTGTATGAAATGGATTGTCTACCAAACTCCTCCAACATAAATGAATTTTTTGTGGTTACAACAATTGATAAAACTGGGTATCATTTGTGAAATGAATGTAAAATGTTGAAACATTTCATATAAATGAAAATATACAGGTTCTATTTTAAAAAGTTGAATTATGCCTGACTGGCTTTTCCGAGCACCCTATATGTTCTTTCCGAAAATTAGGATTTCTGAAATCATCATAGTGATGTTGACTAACTATTCCTGAAAAAATCCACTTGATTGCTGTAGACATGAGGGTGGTGAATTGAAAAATTATTTTCGGCTAAATAAGTTTTTCTGGAATAACTTAGCAATGCCGCAATGAACATTCAAAAACAAAAATTCCTTGGAGAGCTGAAAAAATATGTAATCAAATGACGTATTCATATACTGGGTATTCCATTCAAAAAATATAACTTTGGACACGCTCGGCTGAATCAATCAGTGTGCGAGAAAATTATTTCAAAATATAGTATTTATCGATATGACTGCGAAAAAAAATTGAGCAATTTAAAAACTGTTTTCCTGATAGCAATGGACCGAGGAAATCTTGTGTTTACTCACCCTGTATTTCTATTGAATATGAAAAAGTAGTTGGGATAGACCGACGGGTATATTATTGATAAGGTGAAGTATCGAACCAGCGACTAATCACAGCTGGATGGATGAATGGAGGTCAAAGTTCACGCTCTTCAAATAATAATAATTTGTCTTTATTCGGACGAAAATATATATGCATATGTATTATTTTATACTATAAATGAGGCGGTTTCATCGTTGTTACTTTTTTATAAAACAGAACGTCAGCATGCAGTTACCTTCTCCTCTTCATGTTTAGCGACACAACTAGATTTAAGGTGTGCGAAATCGCTTGCCTTCTTTCACTCTAGAGATCAGACGTAACCATGAGTTCTTAACAGTTTGAATTTCACGTTTACATATTTCAATCAGATTTGAATCATATATAACATCAGGATATTTGAAATGAGAGAGCACAAGCCTCTCGCACGCAGTTATTTTCCCGTTCCTAGTGAGATAATGTCTGCTCTCATATATCAGTTTGATAGAGGCGTTTGCTCATTGAATGAGCTTCATGACGTGGTTTTAGAATCATAGGATGTTGTCTATTAAAACCCCAAAGTTTTCTACCATTCCAAAGTTATGAAGTGAAGAACCCTGGAAAGCTGTAATATATTTGCGTACAAATGGACGTTACAATGATTCAAACTTCTGAAAAGATAAGAAGTGTGGATACTGAAGAGCAGTGATCCCAGAATGCAACCTTGAGGTACACCCAGTTCAATATGAAGGTATTCCGAACATCAGATATTTATATATCCAAAAGCATGTGGAATTGGTTACGAATTTTCTGGAAATAGCTTATTTCATTCTGAATCAAATTGTCTTCGTGAAAAAAGAATCACTGTGAAAAAATGAAAAATCAAAACTTCATCCAGAATCCAGTGGCGGAGCTTCTGTGAAGATTATGGGTGAAAAAAAGAAAGCATTAACATTGGAAAATGTATACAGGTTTTTAGAAAAAGTGAATACAAACCTTTCCACGTAGGAAGATAGTTTCAACTACGTTAAAAGTACTAGTGAAGAAGTGGAAGTTCCGAAAAATGAGATTGAATAATTGGACTTTGAAAATGAAAATGAAAATTAGAGAGAACTTGATCAACATTGAGGAAAAATTGTGGTCATATGATATTTTACCGTATAGGGAAAAACTTTGATGACGTTAAATCAGTCAAGAAAATAACTGGGAAAGTTCTTCAAGGAAAGAAGGTCAAGTTACCTTGAAGAATATAATATTTTTTTGAGCAACAGTTCAGTTTTAGACGAAATAGATTCATGAATGAGATGATAACTGAATTAAGTGGCAATAAATCAAAATAATTCTGAAAACTATATCGAGGAGAGGTACCTATATATAGGAACATAAATATTCCGATATAGGAATTTCGAAACGATTATCTCTCCCAACTAACCTACACAGTAGGCTCTGATGAATGTCTGCAGAAAGATAACTACTCCTCCGGCAAATACCACGCTGGACATGAATTATATCCGACAGACACTCATGCAAGATACTTCACAGATGTTAGTCTTGCATATGTTTACCGTTAATCTAGCAGCCGGATTGGTCTGTAGGTGATTTACAAACCAGTTTCCAGGTATTACCTGACGTCACTGCAGGAAACTCTCGTTATGCACCTTGAAACCGGTCTGTAGGTGATCTACTCGATGTGTTTTAGCATGGTCCCGCTGCTGGATAAATGAGGAAAATCTGCAAGATTAACCTCTGCCAGGTGTCTTGTGAGGTATACGACATATCTGTTGTATGGAATTCAAAGTCCAGCGAGGTATTAGCTGGAAAAGTAGTTATTTTCCGACAGTCATTTACCAGAATATACTGTGTGTTACGTTGTGAGAGATGAATGTTTCAGAATTTCTGTTTCGAAATATCGATATAAGTTGAGTGGGTACATAGATAGAAATTCAGCAACAATCAGCATTTTTATATACTTACCGAAAGCACTTGACACTGTTGGTCACGACTGATTACTTTTACTAGCGAGGGATTTTTCTTTCAGTTTGTAGCCGAGAGTTTTTTCTTTGCATAATTCACACATCTTTATATATAGTTTTAACTTTTTGAAATTGATTGCTTCATTCCTTTCGTTGAAAGATTCCCTCATTTTTCTGTATCAAGATGGAGAATTAGGAAGCCAACACCTTTCTTTCCCAAAAATCATTCTCTTCTAAAAATAATGTCACTCAAACAACTTTTTTCTCGTTATACTTCACTGGTACAAAGTAGCGAAGTAATGAATCATTTTCTTAAATGAAAAGAATCCCTTGAAGGCTTTGCATGAGTACCCCTGTAAAAAATATTTTGAGCATTGATTCGTTAAAAATTATGAAACTCATTATCAGCAGATTGTGTATCGGTTGAACTTTTCACCTCAGTTGTTTACGGAAAAATACATGTAATGTATTATCTATAATATATACTTTTCTTTGAACCAACTAGATATGAATTAGTGTGTGACCTATTCTTTATCAACTATGGCTACATCAAAAAAAATTCTGATCAACACTTCAAATGCACCAAGTTTTTCTTCAATGCCTTTCAAGTAAGTTTAAAATAGATGTAAGACCTAATATTAATCATCCCAATTGTGGATATGGATGCGGTGGTAGTGCGCCCGATTCACGATCGGAAGGCCGTGGGTTCGATTTCCGCCTAGATCAGATATTTTTCTTGAGAGAATTTATCTGGTTGAAGCTGGGATTATTCTGCAACCGTGTTAGGAATCACACGTTAAAAGGTAAGACCTCGTTAGTCTTTAGCTCGCACAAGTTTCTCAACTTCTGAGAGTTGTCGTTGGTATGGGGGCGACAGCTGATTAACGGAAAAACAGATTTTTTTTTCAATATTAATGGCACAGCAGGCATAACTGCGATGAGGATTTGCAATTCCCAATGAAAGTATTACTAAGGTGTGAAGTCACTGGTAAACTTCCTTCAAAAAACATCAAAGAAACATTACAGACTTCGTGTAAGAGGTGTATTTCTCATATTTTGGAATTAAACCTAGACATAGTGTTGAATAAAATTGGCTATTTGGTTCATGGTTGGATGATATGTGGTTATTTGAAAGTAACATACATGCTTCTTGGTCAGCAAGGCGGTTTTACCAAATTTCCATGTTTTTGGTGTGTATGGGACAGTAGAGCAAGGGATCAACATTGTTGCAGAATGAACTGGCCTGTGAGGGAGTCTTTAAAATCCGGCAAAAAGAATTCTAGATCCTAGAAACATTCCCTTATCACCTCTACATATGAAGTTAGGCCTGATGAAACAGTTTGTAAAGGCATTGCCTAAAGATGGACCTTGTTTCAAGTATCTCTGTCAGAAATTTCCAAACCTTTCAGAGGCTAAACTTAAAGAAGGCGTCTCTGTAGGACCCGACATTCGGAAAATGATAGTCGACATGAACTTTTAAACCACAATGACCATACATGAGAAAGAAGCATGGGTATCATTCAAGCAAGTTGTTACAAAATTTTTAAGAAATGCAAAAGACCCAGAATATTGTACCATTGTAGCTAACATGTTAGAGAATTTTAAGAAACTGGGATGTTTGATGAGCCTGAACGTCCACTTTTTGAATAGTCATCTTAATTACTTCCCGTAAAATTTGGGAGATGTTAGTGAGGAGCAGGGTGAGCGTTTTCACCAAGATATTGAATTGATGGAAAAACGTTCCCAAGGCCGCTGGAACATCAACATGATGAGAGACTACTGTTGGTCACTTCACCGTGAAGCTCAACAAGCGACTCGTCGCAGGAAAAGCTTCACAAGAAACTTCAAAGAAGGAAGAGAAAGGAAGTATGAACCAATTCCATCTGACTAGTGAAACCTACGTTACAACATCGCATCATTATTTCAAGTAACCTATTGTGAATAAAAACCATGATAGTGATTTAACATAGTGTCTCATTAATTTTACCATATACCGTACAGATTTTGAATTGAACAAAAAAAGGAAATTTTCCAACAACTATGGGTGATACAAAAACCTAAGACCAGATTTGGATTCAGCACACAAAAATCTATAAAAATCAGCTCTTAAAGTAAACAAAGTTTTCAAAAACATTTTCTGTTGGCCTGTGAAATCTTTGGATAGTGAAAATCAAAAAATAAATCTTGTTAGTCAATTTTTTGACAACTTCACCCTTTCGTCTCAAACTTCTGATGAAAGCTTGATGTGACACACACTGTATGAAGATTATATAGAAGTTGATGAAGGATGCAGCCTTGCGAATTCTCATTTTGTCACGGAAACAGGGATCCACAATGAAACAGAATCTCTACCATATTTCGATACGACTTAGAGACATCTCAAAATAGACTAATTACACTCAACTCAAGAAGCTCGAGTAAGTGGCACGTCCCTGATTCCATGGAATGTTGATTCCATCACTTACATCATTATCCTTTGCTGTCTTCTTCATGTCGGAAACTCGGTCTCCAGACAGATTATTCACGACATATTGTAAACTCCCCGCCCGTGTTAAAATCTCCTATATCCTGTAAATATTCTGTCGCACCCACGTTATCGGACATTGCACTAGCCCTCATTCTGGGTAGTATGCGGGATTAAGTGAGTCATTTCGTGGTCACGCCACGAGAGAACCAGCTCTAGCATTCTGTCTACAGAATCCTCATTTCATAACTGTTGGAAAGGATTTAACGGTGTTTACAGAGTATGTGTGGTATGTTGATTGTTGGGTCCTGTTTGTTGTTCTTCGTGATTCATTCCATCCATACAGAATATGATATTGGAGGATAACCAGCTTAGTCCGGCTGCGGATCTAATGAGCTCGATAAAAAGAATACAGAAAAGTAGAATGAATTTTTTCACAAACAACATATATTTTTCGAACATAATTATATCAAATGTGTTTTGAAGATTGACGCGCGAAAAGGACATATTTTCAGTTGAAATGACTTGGAGTTAAACAACATGCATATCAACCCATTGCACTATTTACATGTTAAATTTTGATAGATACCATCTTCATGTTGTTTCAACATTCAAAAAAGTGAATATCACTGGAGTTGTTTCCAACACCAAATCGTTATTTTTAACACCTCGACACGTGTTTCGATCACCAAGTGATCATCTTCAAGAGAAAGATTAATCTTGGTGATCGAAACACGTGTCGAAATGTTAAAAATAACAATTTGGGTATGGGAAAAAACTCCAGTAATATTCATTACTACACCAAAGGTTCCAAACAGTGCATCAATAATGAAAAGACGAGAGATTTCCGATGATGTCCGATGTCTGAGATGTCCGATGATGAAAAGTTGTCAAAAATTTCTTTCAAATAGTTGAAAGACACGAAAGAAGAAATGAGGGAAAGATATCTTCACTAAGTAACAATTAAAAAAATCTGTTTTTTCGTTAATCAGCTGTCGCATCCATACGAACGACAACTCTCAGAAGTTGAGAAACTTATGCGAGTTAAGGACTAACGTAACAATAATTCTTACAACATTTTTCTCTATCTATCTATTTTTGAATGGCCTTTGCTTTCCACTTGGGTGCATTTTACTAGGCTCTTCCTGATGATGGTCAACAAGAGTTTCATCGAGGGCGCAGCGGTTTTGCTTTGCGCAACGCTGCCACCCTATTTACTTTTTCATACTTTATTGTTAAAAATTAATGAATATTTATATAATATTCGCCTTCTCATCGAGAGACCTGTTTATTTCTTTCACATAAACATAGATTTCACATTTTTCAAAATTATTATAGAGCTGACGACCTTGTCGAATCATTCGACATCCAGCCTGATTACTGGCGTAGGGTGGCGCCAGTCCTTTCAATTTGTCTTTTACTTCGTTATTTATGTTATCATGACGTTATTTATTTCAACTACACCTCACTTTTGGACTCTGGTCACAACATCTATGGGTCATCTTTGAGGGAAGTCATTATCGGCACAACCGTCCTAAGATTCATGGCCACCCTTGCCTAAACATCCCTTTCTATTGTGAATTTCTTTGATGTTCTCCAAAATCAATAGAGGCGTTTTTCACCAATAAGTTCATGAGAACATAAAAATACTTCATGAAACGTCAGCTTTTATAATAAAACTGCTGACTCATGCTTAAAATCGCACTTCAAAAGGTGAGACCTCGTTAATCCTCAGCTCACACAAATGTTTAATTTCGAGGGTTGTTGTTTGTAGAAGAGAGACAGCTGGAAAACAGATTCCACTGTGAAGATTTCATAGGCAATATTTATAAATATCAGGATGTTTCAAAACACTTCTCCGTTTTAATGTCATGTGTTTTGTAGCTATATGTCTCGAGAAATACTCATTCTACTGCATTTTTTCAGCTTATTAGATACTACCATATGTCGTTGAGCGATTTTCTCTTACGAATTCGAATTGAACCGAAGCGCCTCCGAAACAGCTCTAAAAAATAACCAGGCATTTGGCAGTGTAAATCAGGTTCTCAAACTTATTTTGTCTACCGCCCACTTTGAAACACCCAAATTTTTTTATTTTACTACATCTTACGTATCACAATCGCAGTCATTATTTCAATAATTAAATTATGTGTGTCATGTGAAAATAAGACTTTCTGATGAGGATAATGTAAAACACCATTTTGTAATATTGAGAAAACTTTTATTCATGTTATTGAAACAAACATTTCAATTTGAATTTTAAAACTAATCTAATATGAAAGATCAAAAACAGCCGTAAGTCACCGCGTTCGGTAATCTGCAATCGATTTATCTTCTTGATTATCAACCACATCACTAAATCCACGTTCACACAACTACGATGATGGGAATGCTATCAAAAATCGTTGAACGATGGACCACAATCCAGAGTAGAATTGCGGGATTGGATTTTGTAGCCAAAATTCTTGGTATCCATTTTTGAATTTTATTTTTATTTCCTCGATTATTATTCAATCGTTCTGCGACATCACTGTGAAGGTTCTCCAAATGTTGGTAGTGAACAAGCAAGTTCTTGTTGTTGAAGGATACTGCTGACAAATTAGGGAAATTGCGAAACTTACGTCTGCCGATATTATTTTTGTATAAGAGCAATTTGGCTTCAAAAGCAGCAATGACATTTTTTGTTTTAATTAAATTCAAGTCGTCACCTTGAAGTTGGAGACTGACATCATTAAGTAATTCATACAGGTCTGTCAAGTACGCAATATCATTCTTTAAAGTGATGAGGTTGCCGTGCAATTCTTTGTCTTTGTTTTCCAAGAACTCTATTACAGAGTCAAATAGATTGTGAAATCGAGTCTGACGGTTATTTCTTGATAACCAACGCACTTCTGTGTGAAATAGCAATCGGTTGAAATCTTCATCATTAGCAACACAAAGCTAATTAAATAATCTGTCACTTAAAGAGCTGTTTTGGATTTGATTGACTACTTTGATGATATATTGCAGTGATTGAGAAAGGCGCTCACTCAAATTTTTCGTCTTTTGAAACAAACCAATGCGACAAGTTACGGACTAATCAGTTTTTTCAGAGGTTTATATTACGCAGAAATTATTTGCTGTGAACTTTTCAGTTTGCAACAATCGAACAGAATCTTAGTTGATTTAGATTAGTTCACTTTTGAGGTTGTGAAAGATAATGAACCCAGAAACCACCTAAGAATATCTAATTAGTAATTACACTTAGCTAGTACATTTTTTCACCATTTTCATCCTCAAAATCTGTCCTTGTATGTTATTAGATTTCCTTTATTTATTCGTGTAAAAAGTGATGGCGTTGAAGGGATGATCTCCCTGTATCCATTTATGGATCTGTCATTACTTGAATTGAACGTCTGACATTCTAAATAAAACGTCACTACTGGAAAATGACAATAACAAAAAGAATTATTTTCACAAAGACTGCGCCAAACTTCAATTCTCCATTTAGGTATGTCCGAATAGCTTTCAGAACATGACGATAAGTAACAAATATAATTTTATTTCAGCCAAGCAGTCGTGCTCGACAATACTATATACGTTTCCGGAGTACTTGGGGTGAACAAAGATACGATGAAACTTGTGGATGACGATTTCACTTCCGAAGTGAGGCAGACGCTAAAGAACTTGAAAGCGATATTAGAAGCAGGCAGTTCCTCTTTGGAAAAAGTTGTGAAGGTTACGGTTTTTTTAAGTGATATAAACGACTTTGCTGCTATGAACGAAGTTTATAGAGAATGTAAGTACACGAGGATACTGCTAGATTTTATATTTCAGGACTGTTATCGAACTCGTTTGAGTTGGAAAAATTAGTGAGTCTTCCATACATGTTTCTGAACTCATTAATGAAACACCATTTGCAGAAGCGAAAAAAATATCTATATCAATATTTTTTATGGATTTTTCAACGTTAGGTACTTCCAATTTTCACTAGGTGACCCAGTTTTTACCTGAAAAAATTAACAATAGTAAGACTTTGCAAACGTATAACAAAAATGTAGCGATAGTTCATCGATCAAATCTTATTTACTCATTTTCACTGGTGGCGAATACTATACCTTGGTTCAGCAATATAACAATTTTCACACGGCGCAAATATGATGGAGAATTTAACAAAAAATTCCTGGCAATAATGCTAATATTGAGATAAAATCCGTTGGATATTTCACTTCAGCATGAAATTTCATTATGAAATGAGTTTCCAGTTGATCTTGATTGCATATATCTGGATTGTGAACACATATAAAAAGCCTATATTGACCATTAACTCAAAGATTCCCGACTGCGGAAATACAGACATTCTGCCTTGAATTATTCTCCATGTATTTTCTACAGATTTGGGACTATCAATTTCTGTAAATTTTCTTATCAAAAACTAGCCTCTTCTATAACCCAACCTACACTAACTACGTAGTGTTGCAAGGCAGTCAGCTGCCTCGTTGCCTTCCAGGCCAGTATGGCTAGGAATCCAGACCAGAGACAATCTGGTAATTCATCCTATCGAGAAGAGTTTTTGGCAATTTGCTATCAATTTAGATATTGCTCGGCAGGAGCCAAGAGCTTTCAACGCCACTTGACTGTCCAAAAATATTTTCATTGACTTGTGTATGAGGTTGGATTTTTCCAATCTTTCCTCACACAATTCAATAGAGTAAGTTTCCGCTTGAAATACAGGCAGTTCGTAGTTGACAGTTGAAGGCATAGTGTCTTCTAGTGTCAACCAACACTCTGTTGCACTCTGCATTAAATTGTTGTGCAATTGGCAATATGCACAAGTCTATATGCAGTCCATCTAGCCTCTCTCTCCAGAGAATGTGGAGAGGAGGTGGATCTAGAGAGATCTCCATCGCTGCTGACCAGGTGGTACTGATGGCATCACTGATGGCCAGGCACACCTGTCTCTGTGAGCCAGAGAGCTTTGCCTGGGCCGTTTTCTTCAGCTACTACGTAGATGAAGAGAAAAATTTCCTTTGCAAAAACTAACATAAGTCATACCCTCTCCCAAACTACGGAGTGGGATTGGTCGAATCTATTGAAAACACTTTTTTCTCACTAGATCAATTATATTGTGTCTTGACGCGCGTTTCACTACCTTCAAGTTTCGCTAACTTGGTTAGCGAAACGCGCGTTGGGAGACAGTATGTTTGTTCCAGGGATTGAAAGTGTATTCAATAGACTCATTTGGCTCAAGAGATCCCAAATTCCAGTTATCAAATAGGGATGAATAGGTATTTTGTCATTTAGTTCAAGATGATACTTGTTTGGAATATGTATTGTATATAAGGCAAAATATGACATTCCTACCAGATAACAATGTTTTATAACAGACAAGTGTCATTGAAGTCTGTCGGGTGAAAGGACTCGAAAATCGAAGAACGGTGCATCGTGAGCTAGGCGCGTAAACATGGTGCTATAATAGTATCAAAATATGCACTGTTCCCAAACACCACAACTCTTCTCGATGCGCGTTTCACCAACTGAGTTGATGTCTTCATGAGATGATGTTTACTGAAGACGCCCACTTTATTGAAGAAATACGTATCTAGAAAAGAATTGTAGTTTTGGTGTTTAGGAATAGTACATCTTTTGAACTAATTTCACGACAGAGGTTCCACTACAGAGGTTCTCCACTTTTACTTTGAGTATAACTAGTACGTCGGAATGGATATAAGCACTGGATACTTGCACTTATTATTTCAGCTTCTCATACCGAAGATGGTATAATCTCATTTACCTGTTATGAAAGATATTTGAAGTGAATGCTATTATTGCTGATATATACTGACGGTAACTTTGCTTTAACAAAATATTCGAATAACAAATCGAAAATATGATATAAACGACAAAGAAAACATGTGAAAACACTACAGGAGTATTCAAATTTACAAATATTCCAGAAATATACCTCTTGATAATCTAAACGAACTATAAACTAGGTTCATTCAGATACAGGGAGCAACTATAGGGTATTCCAACAGGGACTTACGAACTTTGACAATTGATAACGGTCAACTTTTCGAAGCTACATCTGTCGCATCAGTTGTCATTTATTCATCATGGGTGGATATAGCATTCAACAATACGTGCATTGTTTCATCAAAATCAACGTCGATCAGTTACTGAACCAGTCCACTGGTTAAGTAAATGATCAACCAACACCAGAACGTTGACGAAACACAAGACCTGCCGAAAACATAGCCGTTGTCTTTGAAAGTATGCAGGAGAATCCGAGGCATTGGATTTCGCGTCGCTCACAGAAACTTGGCCTTCGGCAGACCACAACTTGGCGAATTCTACGTCGTGACTTGGGTCTGCACGCATACAGAATTCACGTACTGAAGGTGAACGACCATAGATAACGACGTAAAATTGCTGACTGAGCTCTGGATCAGTTGGCAACTGCCCCTAATTTTCATTGAAATCTCATCTTCAGCGATGAGACCCATTTCTGGATAGATGGGTATGGGAACAAAAAAAATTGTCGAATTTAGAACAATACAAACCCTCATGTGATCCGAAAACGTGCAATGCATTTCGAAAAAAGTTAGTTTTTGGTTGGATTTTGGGCTGGCGGCGTCATTGGTCCATATTTCTCTGGAAACGACGTTGACATCACTGTCAACGGTAAGCACTATTGGTCGATGATTACCACCGATTAGTGGTTTCAACCGGCAGCGGTATATGCCACACAGCTTATGTCACATTGGATATTCTGCACGAGCGATTTGAGGGCATGGCCATCTCACATGGAGATGATGTGTATTGGCCACCGAGATCATGCCATTTGAGCCCCTCACATTTTTTCTCGTAGGGTTTTCTTAATTCGAAGCTGTATACAAATAAGACACAAACCACAGCGGTCCTCAAAGCCAACATAACCCTTGCTATCGGTCATTGAAAATTGGACGTTTCGGATGCGTTTCACCTAGAGAAGTGGTGGCAGATATTTGAACGATGTTATATTTAACAGAAAATTCATTTTATTCAAATTCAAAAATAGGAGAGCTCAATGAAAGATCCTATAGTATTTGTGTAATTGGTATCTGTGATAGGTAGGGTTTTGTCACTGGAATAGAAAATAAATGTTCCAGAGAAATACTGGGATCAGTCACCACTACTGGGGAGGAGAAGAGGACTGCAGTGTTAGTAATCCAGCATAAACAGGTATTGAAATTTCCTATACCTCAGGGATTATCATTTTTTCAACGCATTTTTGCATATGCGATCCAGATGTACCTGATTACGAAGACACTGAAATGTGTATGGCTCTTCAGCTTCCTGAAAGAATGTTCCTTGCAAGTGGCTGACGATTGATATGTCTCGAATACTTTCACCATCAACTCTGGTGTTTCCCAAGGATCCATATTTTCTCCAACCCACTTTTTATTGTATATCAACGACTTATTGTAAAAATCCAGGAATCCAATATATTGCTTTGGCACATCTTCACCGTCAGCAAGAGATTGCATATCTTAATGAGGATCTACAAGTGATTTTGAATTGGGGTGAAAGTAACCAGGTTCAATTCAATGCCACAAAAACCCAGGCATCGGTTTTCTCCAAGAAGATAAATGTCTCCGAATTGGATATAATAATGTCAGGACAGACAATTCCGCTTACTGCTTCGATAAGTTCGTTAGGGGTTGAAATGAACACCAATAAGTCTTGGCACAATCATGTCGCTGGAATTGAAAAGGCTGTTCTCATGTATGGAGCTCTGCCTCCAAATATACCCTGAAGTTGCTGGATTCCATCCAGAAAAGAGCCATTTGCCTGATGGGAGACGCGAACATCACGTGCAACCTTGATAGCTTGGAACATCGAAGAAGGGTTGGAGATTTGTCTCTCTTCTATAGACACTTTCATGGGAAGTGTTCAAGTGACTTGGCACATTTGATTCCACCAAGAGCGATACATATCAGAAATACGCAACGGACTGTTGCTGCTCATCGTTTTGAGATTCAACTCAGTACACCTCGAACTTCACTGTTCAAGAACTCTTTCATTTGGAGAACGACGTTTATGTGAAATAAACGTTTTTTCAAATGGATTTGATCTTCGGCGATTCAAATNGCAACCGTACCTCCTGTCATTTTTATGACAAATTAATAAAACCCAAACAAAAAAATAGTGAAAGGTGCTTGTGTTTTGTACTTAAAAAAGGTAGGGGTACTTGTAGGTAGGTTTATTTGATAACATTTTGATGTGGTATTCTCACAAGAATCACAACACGTGTTTGACCTTGCGATAAGTTTTCAGGGCATATCTTATACTATTGCTCAGCATAACAAGGGTGCTTTTTCTAGAACGAAACAGGTTCTGTGAAATATTTTGTTGGAACTAACCATGATAGTAAAACATTTTTCATACTAATAACCTTACCAGAAACGCGATTTCTTATACAGTAGCTTCTCCAGTCGAACTGGTACGACCGAGGAATATAATTTCTAGCAAAATGCGTGTCTAATGAAGTAATTAGTGTAAACATTGTTTTGTCATCATGGAGGGTGTTATTAATTTTCCGTGCTAGGACGTGCATTTTGGAAGATAAGACCACGTTAATCCTCAGCTCGTACAAGTTTTGACTTCTGAGAGTTGTCGTTCGAAGAGGGGCATCAGCTGGTTAACGGAAAAACAGACTACAACAGATTTTTCAACAGATTTTTTAAATATTAAGTAACGTATTAATGTATTAATTTTCCGTTAATATCTTCTTTGGGAATCAAATAAAGGAAAAACATGGTCGTCAATCGCACACTCAGAGAGTAGTCTGTTCATTTGTATCATTCAATACAGTGAATAACTGCTTGATTTCACTTCAGCACTTGATGGTGAAAGATTTACCGATGGGTTGAAATCAGTCTAAACAATGGGATCCGCTGTTACTGAAATTTTGTTATTCACATTTATTCGTTTTTCAGTTTTCACGAAAGATTTTCCTGCTAGAACGGCAATAGTGGCAGCAAAACTTCCATTAAATGCAAGGGTAGAAATCGATGCAATTGGTGCTACAGGACAAGTGAAAACAGTATGCTGTCATTGATTATTGAAGTTGACGAATCTTTGCATTTATAAACAGATTTTTAGGTGATATACATCATTATGAATAAAGTTTTATTATTTACTGAAGGTGAAATTTCTATTTTTGATGGGCAAATATAGTGGTGGTCAGCAAGTTGAAGTTCTCGATATTGGAAAATGGCCGCAGATGAGTTCGTTTTTGGAATATCAAATGAAGAAACAAAATGGATTTCAAGTAAAAACATATTTTTTTCTGCGCCAGTATGGAAATGAAATATACTCATCCATAAAATATCCATGAAATATCTAAACAGTAAATAAACTACAGTAAAAACTGAACAGTAAACTACAGTTCTCCAATAAACTAACGAACCCTTCGGATGAAACCTTTTTTTTGTAGATAGACAAAAAATAAAAAATCTCAGTCAATTTTTTTGTACCACTTGTCAACCATCATTCAAATTGAAGTGAAATAGAAATACGAAACAGAATATACCGAAAAATGTATGCAAAAACATCTTCGTGAATAGTCTATTTTGGAACTATATGCTTTCTTACTTCATTTGAAAGATTTCCACATTTTTATTTATTGTTTTTGTAAAATGATGGGGAAGTAGAAAGCCAAAACGTTCCTTTACCAAAAATCAATTTCTCCTAAAAATATACCTCTTTCAATTCAAAACAGATTTTTATGGTTAAGAATGAATCAAATAATCGAATGGCTGTTAACAAAACACTGTTATTTCTCTTTCTCTCTCTCTCTCTCTCTCTTTTTCTCTCTCTCTCTCTCTCTCTCTCTCTCGTTTTCTCTCCGTTTTCTCCAATTGATAACCCTGCATACAAACTCAGTGGAATATCGCATGGAATTGGAGTTGCATCAAAATATTTTCACAACCAGGCTACAAAGACAATAAACATAGATAATTTCGAATCGATTGCTCGATACGGAATTAGTTTTTGGGGTTGGAATAGAAATATCGAAGAAATCTTCATAGTTTAAAAAGAATAATAAAAGGAATCAACAACTCAAATTATGACCAAACTTGCAGAACACTATTCCAATCCATCAATACAATTACAATTTACGCGATTTATATCTATGAATGTCTAATGATCATTTATGAAAATTCACAACTCTTCACTGAGGATATACCTGCTCATAAGTATCCCATTAGAACAAATGAATGTATGTATCCCCTTCATGGACTAACAGCAACTGAAGAAAGCGCCCACTTCATGTCAATCAAGCTTCTCAATCATCGTCCTAACAGAATGAACCGAACTAAGAAAATTAGAGTTTTCAAAATAGAACTAAAAAAACCTGTCATAGACTTAGAGCCATGATTTGAACGCATACCTCACTGAAACATTCATTTAAAATATTTATAACGAAGAAATTTGAACCTCCTTGTTTGATGCAATTTCATTCTATGTTACCGATATTTTGCAATAAAAGTTTGTAATCTACTCTAAAATGAAGCCGTTTATTATTATTTTCATTATTATTAGATTTTTTGGCCTTTGCTTCCGAACGGCGTATTCAACCAACGTTCTGTCATCGATAACATGGGTAGATTCAACTCATTTATGACGTAAGGTCGTAGTTTCATGAATGAATTCAGTGTGCTTCATCTTACGCTTTATCTTGTGATGTTATCCATATTGGTGCTGAAGAGACAATAAGGCAACTGTCTTATTTCAAAACAAGGGATATCCGCCATTGAAGATGACAGTGTTCTATGTAAGTGAAATTTTACCATTTTTATGTACTATATTATGTAGGAATCCAGTGAATGACATCTGATTCTATTCCATAACGGATGTTTGGAGTACAAACTGAATAGTAAACTGTTTTTGTATAATTCAATTTTCATATGGAAGTATCCAACTTTTGTTTGACTACGCGTCAAATCTAACGACCTCACTATTATTTCAAATGTTTTCCTTACTACTGGATTATTAACCTTTTTTGACAAATCTTATAAACTCTGCAAATTGTTAAACAATGATTCCTTTTTTGCGGTCAAAACCTTCACCTGCCGCTCCGCAACCGTATCTCCTGTCATTTTATAACAAATTAGTAAAACCCAAACAAAAAAATAGTGAAAGAAATGGAAAAAATTGTTAAGCAAAGCTCAAAATCAATCTGCACCTCGTGTCAAATTCAACAAATAATATCAGATCAAACTCTAGTTCGTGATAATAAACAAAGCAATAAGTTTTCTCTAGCCGCGATTACCGTCCATTGTTTGTTTACGAGAGTAAAGTAAATATTCCAAGTCAAAACCGAGTTGAAAAGGAACCGAGATAAGAGACCAACCAAAAACCCGAACTTTTTGCGCGTCGCCCGCTAATACACCAAAATGGTGACTTAACACCGCCAATTACTTTATTTAACCGAATTAACAACTAAATTCCCGATTATTTCCTTATCCGGCTCCAAGGACCAAAAAATATGTAGAAAATATTACCCCAGAAAATGTCGCTAATTCCTACCTTCTACCCAATACGTTGGTAATTAGGGAAAATAGGTAGGTAAAGTGGAAAAATGAAGGAAATATTAACTCTCATCGAAAGATCTTCCGAAAAATTGTTTCCGAACAAACAAATAACTAAATTCAAATGTATCACGAACCGATGAAACAATAATAATATATCATGAGCTCCGTCTTTCATAAACTCAAGGAACATACTACTTTTTCGTATATACCAATACGATTCGTTTTTCTTTTAAAAAATGCGCGGTTGCCGAACTATATAATTTGTACCTGTTTTTACAAACTTTGAACGATACGGAACAGTGGTTGTTTTTAGGGTGCTAAATCCAAATATGACACTTATTAAACCGTATCACCTACCAGTTTTTCACATTTGCACATCAATATATTATATTTTTTGATTTATTACAAAATTTAACAGCTTTTATATACTACAAATAAAATTATGAAATATTTTGTACTGGATGTAGAAGCACTGCTGAAACATATTTACTGACCAGAAAAAAAGAAATTATATTATTCTGTTCACAGCTGATGTTTTGTTTACTGTCAACCTAACCTTACATTCTGGTTTCCAGTACATGTGCTCAATAAAATGACTAATCGCGGTTGTGAGAACTCTGCTGGCAGTTTTTGTTGTACCAAATTTCCATGTTTTTTGTGTGAATGGGACAGTAAAGCAAGGGATCAATATTGGTGCAGAAAGAACTGGCCTGTGAGGAAGTCTTCAAAATCTGGCGAGAACATTCTCCGCAAAAACCTTGTAGATCCTAGAAACATTCTCTTAACACCTCTACATATGAAGTTAGGCCTCATGAAACAGTTTGTAAAGGCATTGCCTTAAGATGGACCTTGTTCCAAGTATTTCTGTCAGAAATTTCCAAACCTTTCAGAGGAAAAACTTAAAGAAGGCATCTTTGTAAGACCCGACATTCGAAAAATGATGTTCGACGTATACTTTGAAACCACAATGACTATACATGTAATTAAATATTAAAAAATTTCAAGCTAAGTTACTTCACGATGATTCGATTGTTAATTTCCATAATCGTTTCCGTCTTCGATAGTATTTCTCTTTCATGTAATTCATTGATTATATGAAAATAGATGTTTCTAAAGGGCTTTTCCTTCCAGTATGTGTACAAAAGGTACTTCTTTGTATGATCTACAAATGGAATTATTTGCTTTCTTTCTTCCTTTGAAAGATTTCCACATTTTTTACATTTTTTGGCTGAAACATTTCTTTCCCAACAATCAATCTATCAAAAAATATATTCATTTCAAATTTGATCTCGATTGTTGTGAACATACTTTTTTGAGTCAATGTTATCAATGGCCATTATTATTGGTTACATGCTGATGTTAACTATAACAGGAAAAATGTGGGGATATGCGAAGCCGGGTCAGTTTTCTGAGCTATAATAATTCAATGTAGTGAACCAGCTAGTCGAAATATCAAATATGCTGGTAGATCAATAGGTATCTATCATGTTTAGTTTGTTGATGGGAGGCATGATAGTCAAAGGTGCTTTGCGTGTTCGGTCATATTTTTTTATTTAGAAAAAACCGCATCAGGCGTAGCTATTAGCGGCAAACATATACAATATATCTAAAATATTCAGTTGTTTACGTTACAGTTTGAATAAAAGCTTACATTTTTTAAGAAATTCAACAATGTTGTTGGTATTGGTATTTTGGAAAATTTCACTTAGGTTGGAGGGAATTTTGTTGTTCAATCTCTCAACTGTGAAGAGCGGGCACTCTACCGGAACATGCTTAACATAATCTTTGGCAATGCAGAGAAGATCTTTAGATCCGTGAGAGTTTTCAATAAAATTCTGTAGTTGTTGGCTGTTGAGTGGAAATTTTGAAGGGTCGTTGCCAATAAACGCAACAGAGTTTAACCTATCGTCGGATAGGTTAAACTCTGTTTGATTCTTTTCAGTCTTATGTTTTTTGGATTTCTTTTCATTCGGGGTTGAAAAATTTTTGGGATGATCGGATGGTGGTGTCAATATATCTGTAACGCTTCTTTTGTTTGATGTGTGGGAATCTATCTGGGTGTGATCTGTAGAATCATAAAAAGTGAGTTGTGGTTGCTTGTAAATAACTCTTGGCTGCTGAACGTCTTCACTTGTTGTAGAAGTAGTAGGGATTTTATGGACAGTGGCGGTTGTAATTATAAGGTTGTTATCGGGTATTGGGTGTAATATTCCAGGAATGGGCTGTGGCTCTTGAAGTAGGATGTTTGGAGTATCTTTAGACTGGGATAATGTGGTATGCGAGATGCATTGAGATGCTTGGTGCCCAGCTTGTTTACATCTGGAACACATATGGTTTTCTGCAGGAAGAAATATTTTATAATGCACTTCTTCATATTCTAATTCAATGCATTCAGGAACCTGTGATTTTTCTAGAAGAGAAATATGAATTTGTCTTCGAAAACTGAGAATATGGCTGTATGCGGGATCGTTTGCGCCTGTTCTCAGACACGTCATTGGCGACATTATCTTCAGGCCAAAATTCTCAAGGATTTTTATAAAGGTCTCATGCGGTATGGTAGGACTCACATTGACAACAGGAGTCTTTCTGATGGTGTGATCAATCTTC